ATCTACAATTGTTACTAATCCTAGAATCATGATACCTACCTGAATCCAGAGGAAATCAAGAAAGGTAGGCAAGGTTTGGGGTACAGACAGTATACTGAAGTGTTAAGGACTTGAAAAAGGTAGTTCACAGAAAAAGATATACATTGGCCAACAAATATATAAAGAAATAATTTCATGCATAACTGAAAATTAAAGCAAGATAGAAATTTTTACTTATTAAACTAGTAAAAATGGAAAAAGTGAATAATGCTTGCTATTGAGTTCATGGGAAAACAGGCACTCTCATACATTGAGTCTAGAAGTAGTAAATGGAACCACCTCTTTGGAAGGGAATTTGGCAGCCTTACATTTTAGAAGTGTGTATTTATCTTTTGACCCACCACAACAAATGTATCTGATGACACAGCCATTTAATTCTGTATAAAATGCATTGTTTCACTGCAGCATTGTTTATAATCCCAAAAAACTAAAAGACCTGTAAAGAACCTATTCATCTACAAGGCTGTGTTCTAGTCATGCAATGTAACACAATACAGTAATTTAAAATAATGAAGGAGATCTCTGAGAGCTGATGTACATAGACATTCAAGAGAGAATGTTAGGTGAAAACAAACAAACCAAACTGCAGACAGCATATTAAATGTGAATCCCACTTGAGGTTTTCCACAACAATAAAACCAAGATAGGATAATAAAACTGTTGTAAAGATTAAATGACAATGCTGGTGATCTATGTAAAGAGCTCAAAAAAAGTAAAGAATAAGCGTTCAAAAAATACAAAGTAGTTCTGTCTGGAAAGAGGGAAAAGAAAATTTTCACTTTCATCTTAATTTTTTTAACCATAAACATGTTTTTTTTTAAATTAAAACTTTTAAATGAACAAATAACAAATAGCAAGCATTTTTATCTTTAAAGTGATTAACTGATTTCTCTCCCTCTTCACTTCTTTTTAATCTCTTGTTCATGTCTTTAAATTACCATTAGATTTTACATGCCTCAGCAGGGCAGAATGATTTTGTACACAGTAGGTACTCAGTAACTGAATCTAATTTCTTTCTCCCTCTTCAATTCTTTTTAATCTCTTATTCGTGTCTTTAAATTACCATTAGATTTCGCATGCCTCAGCAAGGTAGAATGATCTTGCACACAGTAGGTACTCAGTAACTGAATCTAATTTCTTACCAAAGTAGGATATTTGTGGTGCTAAATGGGAAAAAAGTTATACTCCTCTTAGTAAACTACTAAATAAATATATACTTGAATGAGTTCCTTTAATATATACAGCGGAATTATCTTTTGTAGCTGAGTAATATAAAAACCCTCATTTGATTTTATACTTACAGCTTCCAAGCTCTCTTTTTTCATGTTCAATGAGTCTAGTTGTTGCTGAAGTGTGTCTAACTCCTAAGAAAAAGGAAAAAAGTAAATACACATACGAGTAATATATAGAATAATATGTTTGTTTCTTAGCTTTTCATATACGGATGTGACAAAGTAAATTTTATAAACACATCCAATACTTGCTATTGACTAGAATTTATTAACATTATTTCTATTTCTGCCAGTTTCTTTCATTATTCCACAAAACTTGTCATGATCTACCTTTAAAAATACTTTATGAGCTTGTCAAAGGTAGCCAAATCTTTTCACAATGAATCATCACTGCCGTTTTCAAAGTATTTAAATATCAGGAGCCTTCAAATTAATGATGTTATTGTTTAAAGTTATGATTTTTAACTTTGATTTTTTAAAACCATGTTTCCATATCTTTTGCCTAATTTCTTTTAGAGCCAAGATATATAGTAATGTATATGGCTCATTCCTACAGACAAGACTTTCAAGCTATTTACTTATTCAAAAACCACGGGCAAGATTAACTGTATTTTGATGGTACTTCAGCATTTCTGTAATACTCTTTCTTCAGTGTTTCATTGTATCTTATGAATCCTGACTAAAATAGAAAGTTATATTAAATTGTCAATGAAGTAATATCTGAGAACCCAGAACTACATTCAATTTTGGCATTTATGGGGACTAATTCTCTGTTAACTGTTTAGTTAAGGGTTATCTTGGTATATAAGGGCACTAACTTGCAAATCTGAGTCACCACCATCACTGAATGTTGGGAGAATTCTCAATAACCCCTCAGCAGGCTCCCAAATTGCTTATTTAAATACCACGATTAGGAGGCAAGAGCTATTCAAATTCAGGACAGAGAAGTAAAAGATGCATTGTTTATTAGGCAGGGAAGAAAGGAAGTAATTATCTCTATGGCACTGGTATCTGAGGTTTTTTATTATTTCTATTAATAGTTCATTAAAAAAACAAGTGTTTTCATGTATCTATATGACACGCAAAAGTGAAAGATGCATAGAAATGAACAAATAATACAGTAATATTTGGTCATCGTGCAGCATGAGAAAATGAATTTTCTATATTGTACTTCTCCAATTTAAATGTCCATCTATACAAATTATCTGGGGACCTTGTTAAATTAAGATGCTGATCAGTAGGTCTAGTCAAGTTCTCAGGGATGCCAATGCTGCTCATCTTCAGACTATATAGTAGCAAGACTGCTATATCCTGTTGAGGAGCAGGATAGTGATTAGTATTACCTGCAACAATTTCTCATTTGTGGTTTTCATTTCTATGTACTTGACTTGTTTTTCAGGAGACATGTTTCTGATAATGCCATCTGCTGCTTGTTTTTCCTGTTCAACTTCTTCTTCTACACTTCTAATTTGTTTTTCCTTCCTGAAATCAAAAGTATTCAATATTCCTCTTAATACAGTGAGGGGAATAACATCAATTAATTTTACTCAGGTCACAGTCTCAACTAAATAGGGTAAAGTTATTTAACATAGCTTGTAAATTCTTATAGATGTACAAAAAATTCTATTTGGAGAACAAAGTGGTGGTTGCCAGAGGGAAGAGGGTGAGGCATGGGCAAAAATGGGTGAAGGGGAGTAGGAGGTACAGGCTTCTAATTACGGAATGAAGAAGTCACAGGGATGAAAAGTACAGCATAGGTAATACAGTTAACGGTATTATAATAATGCTGTATGATGATGGTAACTTGTGGTGAGTGCTGCATAACATATGGAACTGTTGAATCACTTACGTTGTACACCTGAAATTTAAGTTAACATTATGTGCCAACTATACTTCAATAAAAATTAATAAGAAAATCCCTTATACTTCCAAAAAAAGAATTGTCCACATCAACAGAAACTTATTTTACATCTTTCTCTTCTCAGTTCCCAAATCCTTCTATTTCCCTACTATTCATTTTACTTTCTTATAAGAAAACTCAAAGATTATCAGAGAAAATCTTGAAAGCCTTGTACACATGAGGAGGTATTTACACTTTGTCATACCCACAAGACAAAACAATTTTAGAACAGTGGTTTTCAAACATCTTTTAGCTACAGAATTCTTTAACCAAATGAAATCCTGTATTGTAGTTAACCATGTAAATGATATAAAGTAACACAGCTCTGACTGATCTGAGAGTAGTGCAATTTGATTAAAAAAATCATAACTTTAGATTAATAATATATCTTGCTTACCTACTATTTAATTAAAATGGGTATTCCAAAAGCTATCAACTATATTTTAGTGGTGCAAAATAATGTTAGTGTCTCTGAAAATATAACAGGAATATCACAAGTGTAATCATATAAGAGTAATAGTCAGTAAATTAATTACAAATAATAACCATCTTTATCATATAATCACAAGAAATACCAGTGATAAGCCACTTATTACCTAAGCAAGGTCAGTTATCAATAGGATAGAATTTTTCTCTAAAATTATGAAAAAATTCTCTAGAATTTTGAAAAAAAGGAAAAGATGCTAGTTATCACATAAATATTTCAAGATTTACATATAAAAAGACTACTTGAAGATAAATGTTTATTCTCAATATCAAAATTTTGAGTTTCAAAATAGGAGTATTCTACTACTTAATCTTCCACATGTAGTTATCAATTACTACAGGTTTCACAATCACTCTCTAAGCCCTATAGGTTCACGTATTCCCCACACACTTTTTACACCGCCAGAATAAAGTAATCTACATTCAGAAATTTTTCTATAAACAACATCTCTTAATAACCCAATAAAAGATGAAGAAAATCAAACAAACAACATGAAATTTCTATTTATTTTTGTCTATTGGACAAGGAGTAATATCTTCACTTTGAACTTAAATTATTATCATATAACAAATGTGTTTGCTGCTGGATTTATATGGGTTTACGGGCTCAGAACTTTCAAGTAGGAAAGGTCATCAATTTCAATCTCTTTGTTTCATAAATTAAGGATATAGAGGCTCAAGGGAGTTAATCTTTTGGAACTAACTCATTCTGAACTCCATGATTATTTACTATCAACAATGAATCTTAACCATGTTTTTGCCTGATACATCTGGTTACTGTAGTTACACGGGAGCTATTGTTATACAGTATTCCATTTTACAGAGGGGAAGCTGCAACACAAGGAAGGTAACTCATTTTTTGAAGGCCACAATATGGCCAGCATTAGGTCTTTTGATCCTTTGAGCACTCTACTCCTATTACAACTTGGCAATAAAACCACCAATGACAGGTCATAAAAATGAATAAACAAAGTTGAAATGGGAATACAAAACTCGGTATCTTTTCAACTTGAATCTTTTTAAATACGAAATACCTTTAGGACTAACCTTAAATCACGTTAACCATGTATCTTTCCAAGTACGCATTTTCAATATTATATACTTCAACTTGCAAAGTAAATTTGCTAATATTTACATTTTTCAAGAGTAATTAAGAAACACAAAGGTTAAGCAAAGCACTTTACTTGTTATGCCAAAAAAGTCAAAGATGACTAAGAAATTACTCTTCTAGTCAATCTTTTGCTAAGGAAGTCTAGCTTTTTTTTACATCACGTGTTCATTGGGTACAAAGGTTAAAGCATAGTGAAATGCAACCATATGACATTCTTTTTTTTAATGGTGCAGAAGAAACAGAATAGATTCCTTAGCACACAAGTCTCAGAGAAAAGAAACAGGTAAAGGTAAGATTCCATATATTTACAGGTTTGATGGTTGCTGGTGAGTTTTAAAAAAACAAACCATATTTAAGCTTGTTAATCTACAAAAATCTTTAATATGGGGTGTAAGAGCAAAAAACATAATTATATCTTCATATAATCTACCTTAGAAATATAAACCTGGGATGTGGCCAAAAAATCTTTTCCAAATAAATTTATAATGTAATATAATTAATTTTCTTTTGGGGAATCTAATCAAATTTATAAGATCTTTTTATTCTGAAATATGCTAATCACAGAGCATTCTGAAAGTGACATTAACATAAAAGCAAATTTACAAGGTGAAAAAAGATGAAAATTATAAGTAACTATGTTTGGAGAATGAAGAGATAGATAGAAAGCGTACACTTGATGATTGAAGATGACGGTAGGAAGTGTTTGAAAAAGAGCTGATGGCTCTCATCTCCACAGTTTTAAGTCAACAGATTATATCAATAGACAATATCTAAAAATGAAAAACCATAAAATAGCAATATAAGCATATACTTAAACATGTACATATACATAAATATATAGTCTTGACTTTCTTTGACACACATATATTAAAATTTTAAAATATATAACCACTTCACTTGTTTCAAAGTTCATTTCAATCGATCCAGGAACTAATGAGACATTCAAAAACACTTTCATTTGCCAGGAACTTTCCAGTTTAAGATTAGAGTGCGGGGTGGGTGATAGAATATGTACTTGTTTCACATTTCGTATGTTTTAAGAAAAAATGGATTTACAAGAAGAAAAAAGGAAATTAAAATATTCTCAATATAAAGTTCTTCTCTATTGAGACGAAAATACTCTGTTTTCTAACAGGCCTGTGATATGAAAACTACATGCATCACAACCTTGTTTTGGCCCCTCTCTATGCTATTATTATCAGATGAAAGCCAGTCTTCTAAACCAGTAAGTTTTTACAATCAAGGTGGTGAAAATATTTTCAAAGGTATACTGGGGCGCCTGGGTGGTTCAGTAGGTTAAGGCCTCTGCCTTCGGCTCAGGTCTTGATCCCGGGGTCCTGGGATCGAGCCCCCCATCAGGCTCTCTGCTCAGCCTGCTTCCTCCCTCTCTCTCTCTCTCTGCCTGCCTCTCTGCCTACTTGTTCTCTCTTTTTTTCCAAAAAAAAAAAAAAAAAAAAGTATACTTTATGTACATTTAGTAAAATATGCCAAGGCAATTAAAGCAAAAAAAAAAAAAATACCTGAACTATCAAAACTAATTGGTTAGCTATATATATTCAAAATCTGTGGTATGTGAGCTAGATTCTAATTTGACAAACGCAGTCTTCATTTTATTTAAACTAAATTCTTTAATGGTTGGTTAAAGAAGTCTGTAAATTTTCACTATAAAATCTGAGATTAGTTTCAGGATATAAATACCAGTCTTTTATGTTTTATTTATTTTTATAAGTAATCTCTGTGCCCAAAATGGGGCTCAAACTCAGTACCCCGAGGCCAAGAGTCATACATTCTACTGACCAAGCCAGGCAGGCACCCCTAAACACCACTCTTTAAAATGTAGGGAGTTGGGATGCCTGGGTGGCTCAGTGGGTTAAGCCTCTGCCCTTGGCTTGGGTCATGGTCTCAGGGTCCTGGGATCAAGCTTCTGGGATCAAGCTCCGCATCAGGCTCCCTGCTCAGCAGGAAGCTCTCTGCCTGACTTTGCCTGCTTGTGATTTCTGTCATAAAATTAATAAATAAAATGTTTAAAAAAAATAAAATGTAGGAAGTGTTTTTTAAAAATTAAATATTTATGAAGAAAATTATTATTGTTGAATTACTATTATTATGGGAAAATTATTGTTGTTGCATTACTATTATTACTATTATTATTATTATAACATTACTATTTTCAGTAGTATTCAGGAGACCATACGTCCTAGTAAGAATATAGTATTGCATTACTATTATTATTATAGTCAAAATAAGAACTATTTTTGTGGATCTGCAGCCACATAAGAAAAGTACTCATGTTGGCTGGCTCTTAAATTCATATGGTTCAATTTCCGTTATAAAGTAAATATTTCCTGGGGACACCTGGCTGGCTCAGCAAGTAGAGCATCTGATTTTTGATCTTGGGGTCATGAATTCAAGCCCCACACTGGCTATAGGGATTATTTTTAAAAAATTAATATTTCTTTTTAAACGCCAAACTTTGAGCTGTTAACCCTATATACAGTTATATATTGAGTATTACTTCTTTTTTTTTTTAATTTTTTTTTAAAGATTTTATTTATTTATTTGTCAGAGAGAGAGAGAGGGAGAGAGAGCAAGCACAGGCAGACAGAATGGCAGGCAGAGGCAGAGGGAGAAGCAGGCTCCCTGATGAGCAAGGAGCCCGATGTGGGACTCGATCCCAGGACGCTGGGATCATGACCTGAGCCGAAGGCAGCTGCTTAACCAATTGAGCCACCCAGGCGTCCCTGAGTATTCCTTCTTATTTACTGTTGGTAGCTCTGATTTTTAAAAACAAATTTTAAAATAATTTCCTCATTATAAATCATATACAAATGAAATACTATATAAGTTAAGAGAATTATTTGTCATGTATTTCCACATATGTAATGAAATTATACCCACATTTTTTCTGTAATGAGTATGTAGTAAGAAAAGATTACCTATATGATTAACTAGAATCTCTTTGCTCAGGTACAGGCATCAGAATTTCCTTAATCTTCAGTATTTCATCCCAATGAAGAAATAAAAGTATTTGCTTTACTTTTTTTTTTACACTATAACATCAAAATATTAGAGAGGAAATGTTTTTCTAAAACTATTTTCTTCCAGGAGTGTCTGGTGGCTTAGTCAGTTAAGCATCCAACTATTGACTTTAGCTCAAGTCATGAACACAGAATTGTGAGATCTTCCTCTCCCTCTACCCCTCCCCCCTCTAAAAAGAAAACAAAACTATCTCCTTCCAATGTCTAATTGCCTGCATATAAAAATTTGGAAAATTGTTAATATTTTTCCTAACTAATGCATTTGTATTTTTTTCTTTTTTAGGAAGTCAAATGTAATTTCACTGAAAAGAATTACTCTTTGATTCCAGCAGATATCAATAAAAATGTTACTATACTTGATCTCGGTTATAACCAAATTACTTTGAGTATTACAGACACTAGGGTTCTACAAACATATTTTTTACTCACTGAACTCTATTTGACTGAGAACAATGTCATTATGTTATATAATAATGGCTTTAGTAACCTCTCCAATCTAGAAATTTTAAATATCTGTAGAAACTCCATCCATGTAATTGAACAGGGTGCGTTCATGGGCTTAAATAAACTAAAACAATTACATCTTTGTCAAAACAAAATATTTCAACTGAATCCTGATGTATTTGTACCTCTAAAAAACCTGATACTTCTGAATCTGCAAGGCAATTTCATTAGCTATTTTGATGTACCACAACTGTTTCATCTGGAATTAATAATTTTATATGGAAATCCATGGAACTGTTCTTGCAGTCTACTGAATTTGCAGAACTGGCTGAACACATCAAATGTGACACTAGGTAAGCTACCATTACTTAATCAAAACCAAATTGTGATTGATTTTTTATTGTCCCACCCCAGGAAAGTCTCTCACTTCATGTTTTAAAGAAAAAGAAACTATTCCTGTTTAAGGGAAGCAGGAAGAAACACTGAAAAGTAATTGTTGAATAAATATTCTTCCTCTGCCTTTTAGGGAAAAAAAAAGAAGAAAAGAAATTTAAATGATTTATATATGCAAGATGATACTGTCACTTCATGTATTAAGTTTATAGTTTGAATATGAATACATAAGAGTAATTTTTTTTTAGTATTTCCTTTTGTTAAGATATCTTGCCAGACAGTAGGTAAAAACAGGTGCCCTATTTTATTAACTGCAAACCATGCTCTGCCTGAGATCAATTTTTGTCACAATCTTAATCATAACATCTTTACTAACACACACTAAACATAAACAGATACTGCATTTAAACCGTATACATCATAAAATAACTTAATAAATAAGAAGGTGAATCTTTCCCTTCTTGTGTTGCTAGGCAAATACAAAAGTTTCTTATAATCCGTAATAATGACAGGTAGGTATACCAAAAAATTCTAGGTAAAAATAATTATAAAATGCAAGCCATAATAATTTATTAACAATAATAATCCTATTTCCATAATAAATGTTATTCTGATTTACCAGAAAATGAGAACATCACCACGTGCACCTACCCAGATATCCTGAAGTTCTACAGTATCAAAACAGTGCCTTATAATGCTGAGTGCTACTCGAAATTTCCTCCACCTATAAATGAAGATCTTTATAACCACTTTCAGTCCATTAGCAACTCAACATTTAATAGCTCTTTGAACAACTTAAAAAATTCAGGTAATGTACTGGTTTTGAATATTAATATTGCTGAAGGCAGTATACTAAATAAACTGAAGTAGTTATCATTTTCCTAAATTTTAAATTTCTAGAAACAATATAAAAGAACAATTCCTCATCTAAACAAAAGATTTACAAAATACTAAGTTTCCAAACTAGGCTCTGCTAGTTACCATTCAAATGCCATTATGCAATTTATTTAACTTTTGAGTCTTAGTTTTGACCAATTAAGTCATGATTCTTTTTTTTTTTTAAGTCATGATTCTTAACAAGTATAAATCAACAATGTTCTTTTGTGAATTGATAAACAATACCTGCAAAGACAAGTAGTTATTTTGGAATAAAGGTATTTTTTTCAGCACACTATGAAATATCTTGTGGTTTTAGTAACTTTTGCTTAAAGAAAATTATGTTTATTTCTAATACCAATATTATGGAGTTATTAGGACATATGATTAATGATTATTTTTGTCAATTTAACAAAATCTCTCTCTTTCTCTCTCTCTCGTTATTCCAATTAAGAACGTAAACTTCTTGGAAAAAGCTGGGCTTTTCTGGTTGGTGTGGTGATCACTGTACTGATGACTTCATTCCTCATTTTTGCTGCTATCAAATGCCCAGTATGGTATAATTTTCTGCTTAGTTACAATCATCATCGCCTGGAAGAGCATGAAGCAGAAACCTATGAAGATGGTTTTACTGGAAATTCAAGTTCTCTTTCACAGGTCCCAGATACAAACTCTGAAGAAACTATAGTAATATTTGAAAAACTACATTCATTTGTGGTAGATGACGATGGGTTTATTGAAGACAAATATATAGATACTCATGAATTACATGAAGAAAATTAATTCCCTTAAATGCTTGTTTTTTTAATAAATGTTATCGGTTTACTCACAATTTAGACATAAATGGAGATTAGGCATGTGATATACCAAACTGTGGCTAGTAGACTTTCCTATTAATTGCAACACACAGGAATATCATAAAATCATGTTTTTCTCATTGGTACTGAGCAAGTAGGTCCAAACATAGTAAATGGTATCCTCTGGTAAGCTTACAGGGACAATATTAGCATTACTATTTTCAGTAGTATTCAGGAGACCATACAACCTAATAAGGAAAAGACTTATTAAATTATTTATTAAAATGAACTGATTCTAATATTGGCCCACATATTTGATATAATATATATTAAGTTATAATAAACTTTTATTGAGTAGAATCAGTAAAAAATAAAGTTTTTTTAAAGTCTGCCTCTCTCAAATAAATAAATAAAATCTTTAGAAAAATTTTTTTAAAAATTAAAGGTTTTGGATTTGTCAAAGTGAAAATGCTTAAACATGCAACACACCAAGATTCATTTTATACCCATAGAATGAATTCATGGAATTAGAAAATACTTTTTTAAATGCTTTCTGAATTAGCACAATAAATTTCCTAAAAATTTAGTACCAACTTAAAGCACAGGTACAATGTCCAAGCACAATTCCTAATAAGTTACTACAGACTTGAAAAAAAAAAAGGTACTACTGCTTTCAGTTATAAAGACCATCACCATAATGCATGATTATCATAACTGAATAGTATGATAAATTCCAAAGTGAGTATCACAAGTCTCCACAAATCTTGTTTTTCAAAATCTGTATTTCTGCCTCTCTTTGGAAGAGTCCTATTCATATGAGTCTGTGCTGGGGCAGAGGAATCTTCAGTTGGTCCATGGACAAATGTTTGGGATCCTGTAGATAGAGCAATGTTTCCCAAATTGTTTTCTAGAATATTAATTTCCAGGGAAATGCTCAGAAATATTTATAGGGGGAAAAAACAATACATGGTCAAATTACTATAGGAAATACTGAGTTTAAACAAAGTGAAACAAGAGTCTTTAATATAGGACTTAATTCAAGACTCTAAAAAGCTAAAGTGCTTTCTGCTCTTTAAGAACCAAGTATTAAGAATTTTCCAAACTTACTGGACAACAAAACCCTTTCCTTCAGGTATGTCAATAATGAGTTCATAATACAATAATGGTCCAAAAAACATAGTTTGGACAACAATGACCTTGAGACTATTAAAGAAAGAGTCTAAAGCCAATTATTTACTAATTTCCTTATAACCAATTGGCTGTAATCATAATTTTAACAATGCAAACAGAGGTGGTTAAGAATTGTAATAAAAATCCATCATTTTTACCTTCCATAGGGGTAAAAAATTAAGTGTATGTATAACTGTTAGAGAAAAGAATATCTCTAAAACACTATAATAAAATATGTTTACGAGTGAAATAATATGATATTTTAGGTTTTCTTCATCATTATACAGGGAAGGGAGTAGTGTCTAGATGTCTATATGGAGCAGGATTGGACATGAGCTGATGGAGCTGGGAGATGGAGCTGATGGAGCTGGGAGATGATATAAGTACAGTAATACTTTTATTTTTGTGTATGTTCAAATCTTTCTATAATAAAGTTTTTAAAATGCATCTGTACTTCATAGTTCCTCAGAAAAAAGGGACTAAAGAATAATGTATATATACATTATATTCTGCAGAGTAGTCATTTTAAAGGTTATATCCATAGTAAATTCAGTTCAAATATCCACTGAGGAAAATAAAAACTGTTTAGGATGATATATACCCTATGAAACAGAACTGACTCACTTATTTATAATGCATATTTGCTTGTATATATAGAAACACGTTTTCAATAAAGGGCAGAAATGTTGTACAAGTAATATTTCCTACTAGATAATATCAATTTTACTTTATTGTTTTAAATCTTGGTTATAATTTTGGAAATATAATTATAAGAGATAATTATGGAACCAAAATGCATCTTTCTCTAAATAATCTATCATTTTACCAAAATATCATTTCCTAATTTAAGAGGTAAATATTAATATTTGAAAAATGTAGTAAAACGTAATATAATTACGAATGAGCAAAGACTACATCTAATCTCTTGAACCTGTAATAACTGAATGTTGGCATATGAAATTGAATTAAAGCTAAGTATAATGTTATAGTAATATACTAAAGGCTGTATACTATAACTAACTTATTATGAATAGATGGTTCCATAATAAACCAGATGGTTTAGTCATACCACACTAACTGCTCATACTAAAAAAGAATGAAGTTTTTTGGACCTGCATTTTCAAGGTACAGCATTACCAACTCCTTTTGAATGTGTAGTCAAGGTAGACCCTTTGTGTTACTGAGATGTTGGTCATCTCATTAATGCATGAAATAAATCTATTCACCTGCTGCCTATAAAAGTAAACTTCATGAAGATAACTTTTTGTTCTTAATTTAAATTTCTGCTTAAAAAGGTCAGGAGAACGAATTACACTCAGACTCAATTACAAACTATAGATATTAAGAAACTGCTGACATTTCAGGACAAACCACCATATTTTAAAAACTTATTCCTTAACTAAATGAACCAAATAGACATAAAAGCCTAAAACAGTCTTAAATTTATAATCTGTGAGTTATCTTTCTGGATGAAATATATATAAAACATATACATATAGTATTTATAAATCTGACCTGAATATCATATAACTGCAGATAAGTAATGAAATAAATGAGGACCTTAATGTTCTAAACTCTGTTAGGTGTTCAACGGACTACAGTCCCTTATTTACTTTTTAGGTAACTAAAGGAGTTATTTTATGTATTGTAAATGATAAATATTTCCTAAATGGTTCAAAACCAGAACAGTAAAAAAGAAGTTTTCAAGTAAGAGCTTGGTCACCATGAATATGTAATTTTCTTCATAAATGGGAAGAGACTTCCGGTATTTATAATTTTTAAGGCAGCACTTTACAGCAGTATTAAATGATAGATAAGGGAAAAAGAGGTTCCTTTGTTTTTAATCAACAAAAAAATTATATTAATCTTTCAAATGTTTTACCATTACATGTTAACATCTTATTCTTCATCAAATATTTATGTTATATGCATAAGTAACAGGACAGTATATTTGGTGTCACAGAATTTAAGTAATTTTGATTAATTATTACCCTTATTTTCAAAGAGATTAAGACTATTAAAATTCTGAGACTAAATGTGTATGGGGTGGGAGTATATAAAATAGCTTATGTTTTATGTTTGCATAGATTCAGACAGTATTTAATTACAGCCAAAAATCAATGAAGAATAATTGTGTTAACTACTGTAATTATCTGAATATTTATGTCCCTCCAAAATGTGTGTTGCAATCCCAGCCCGCAAAGGTAATGGTATTGGCAGGTACAAGCTTTGGGAAGTGATTAGGTAATTAGGGTGGAGCCCTCACAAATAGGATTAGTGCCCTTATTAAAAGAGATCCCACAGGCTCACCTGGGTGGCCCAGTCATTAAGTCATTAAGTGTCTGCCTTCTGCTCATGGCTCACGTCATGATCCCAGGGTCCTGCGATCCAGCTCTGTATCAGGCTCCCTGCTCGACAGGAAGCCTGCTTCTCCCTCTCCCACTTCCCCTGCTTGTGTTCCTTCTCACTGTCTCTCTTCCTGTCAAATAAATTTTAAAAAAAGAAAAAGAAAAAAAAGATGCCAGAGACCCCCTTCTACCATAGCAGTATATAGCAAGATGTCTGGTATGAACAGGAAGAGGGACCTCACCAGAACGGGACCACATTGCTGCCTTGAGCCTAGACTGCCTAGCCTCCAGAACTGTGAGCAATAAATTCCTGTTATTTATAAGTTACCTAGTTTATGGTACATTGTTATAACAGCCCAAATGGACTAAAACAAGTATATCACATCTACCTATTACCTTTGCAGGCTTTTGTCACTGCCACACTTCCACTTACTTTTTTTTTTTTTTTAAAGATTTTATTTTATTTATTTATTTGACAGACAGAGATCACAGGTAGGCAGAGAGGCAGGCAGAGAGAGAGGAAGGGAAGCAGACTCCCTGCCGAGCAGAGAGCCTGATGTGAGGCTCAATCCCAGGACCCTGGGATCACGACCTGAGCCGAAGGCAGAGGCTTTAACCCACTGAGCCACCCAGGTGCCCCCACACTTCCACTTATTACCAAAATCAAAATTATTTGCTATTGGATCTTTAACCATGTTATATAAAAAGATGTATACACATATATGCATTAATATAACTTAATTAGAAGTTAAAAACTGAATAATGAAATAATGTAAATAGCTCACTAATAATGTGTGTTTTATTAGACTGGACCTTGAATCTCATAATTCAAATAAGTTAAAAAGCCCAGGTTAAAGTTGTAAATGGTAGAGATGAAGATGTTCTTATCCATCTTAGATTTTGAATTTACTTGAAATAGGAATTTTATTTATCTAGTCTATGAATTAATTTTATTTATCCAGATTTAGGTACTTAATGATAAATGATAGTAATTTTATTTATCCAGGATTTGGGTGCTTAATGGTAAATGAAAACAACAGATGTGTAAACAATAAAATTTGTACTGCAAATATTCAACTTTTTAAAATAAAATGCAAGGGAAGGGGCACCTCGGTGACTCGGTTGAGCTCTTGCTCTCAGCTCAAGGTTTGATCTCACAGTTATGAGTTTGGGCCTGCACTGGGCTCCACATTGGGTGTGGAGCTTACTTAAGAAAAGAAAAATGCAAGAAAAAAAAAGCAAGAGAATTTATAAGGAAATAAATGACTTCAACATTAAACTGCCTAATTCAGCTTCTTAGAAGTGTTTGATTTCTAAATGGATTGTACTTACGCTTGTCTTTCAGTAAATATGATATCCATACTTTGTGTTTCTCGATCATTTTGAGCTTTAAGCTGAATGAAGAGTTAATGGAGAAGTTAGTGATAAAAAATTACTATTAAACTGAACTACTTCTTTAAAAGTTATTCTGGTCATGAACTAATTGAGAGGTTATTATAATAATCCTAACGCCACATGCAAAGTTAAAAAAAAAAAAACAGTACTTAATTCACTTAACAAACTACAACCCCCAAAAAAGGAAGTCTTTTTCACAGGCAATGTAATCTCACACCAAAAATATTCACTATTCTTTAGTGATCTATCAAATAATCCAATATAAACTTCTTTTATGTAAATAGAATTTCTGAAATTTTTGGATGTTCAATAGTTGATTAGTAGTATGTTGATTTTAGGCCAAATACAAGTTTCATCCTTAAACAGAATTTTACCTGAGTATTACTAATTGACTCTACCTGTGCATATTCAGCCTAGAATTTGGTTCTATCCCAAACAACTGACAGAACACATAAAGAAGTTTCCACGTTTTACATGTGGCATTAAAAATATATTT